AAACAGGTACAGTTGAACGAGCTGCCCTGGTCCACGCATGCGCTGTTTCCAGGGCAGGGATTGGAATCACATGACGAGTTCCTATGACAACCGACTTGTATTTGCGCGTTCTTAACGGAGAGTCCTGTTTGAGATGATGGATCAAGGATGTGAACAAAACGATGGTTGAATTGAATCCCTTTCAGACATCCTTGAAATGAGGTGGTAGTCTGTAAGCCTGTTAAAGAACATAAGCAAATTAAAGTTAGATAGCAAGATAACTCTACATGCCATTCGAATAGCCGACTTGTGAATTTTGCCTCAGTACTCACACGGAAAGGAATCAAGACGATGCGAAATGAATAAAGGTCAATCATTCGTGAAAAGACATAAGTTCTTCACGATTGACTGAGCTTTATGCACAGCGCCTTGCCTTGATCTTTTGTGTTTGACTAACGAGTCAAAATTTGCAAACCGGCTTGCCCAAATGGCGTCTGGGCGTCTGCAAGTATATCAAAAATGCTTACGAAGAGTCGTAATGATATTTCAGTGCTGGATCTAGACACTTTTGACTATCAATCAAGTCGGCTGTCATTTCTTTTGTTAGGTTCGGTGAGTGAGTGAGCAATCATGACGTCACAGAGACAATTGATACGTACGTAGATTTTCTAATTTCGAATGTAATCGCTCAATAGAACTAACTTACGTCACAAAAGAAATAGCTTCGCTCTTCACAATTTCAACGTGMTCGCCAATCAAACAAAGTCGTAATCAAAAAATTCGTGGAATAGATATCAAAAGCCCATAGTCAACCGAGATTCAATACGGTCRTGTCTTAATTTTTCCTGGAAAATGAGRCGACTTCAAAAATATCCRTTCGCAATCTGTCTCCATCCGTCAGTYTTAAGGTCGAATCTTACAAAATTTCTATTCATAGRGCATAAAGAGATAATAAAGAGTAAGTTTTTGCTTATATTGCGATGCATTTTTTTTCCAAAAACATAAACAAAAACTCGGAAGAGACACTGGTTGGCCATGACACGCCCAAGTGTCATTAATCAATATTTCCTTTTCTTCTACTTAATTGTTATACCTTGATTTCCGAAATTTGTTTTTTGCCCTTTAGACCCGYATCAATTTASTTTTATGATAAAGCTTGCAAGGGGAATTACCTTTAGCTTGTAGATAGGGGAATCCCCCTAAATGCACGTAGATGSCTTGTGCRCTAATGACATCAAGRACACCTTCACTCCCTTGAATGTCAGTCTCCTTGACATGCGCACCATCAACATCAACACGAATGCGCTTGTAACGCCTTGACCACGTGATATTGTGCCAAAGACCGTCACTGATTGGTTTATCAATAACAATAGAAGTTGATCCTAGAAAAAGATTATTGAGTCAGATTAAGATATAACCTTATCACATACATTGGAAAAAATCGCGMRCTTTAAAGGTTGTAAATTTGATGTAARTRT